TTTTTTATAGAGATGGGGTCTTGCTACATTGCCCAAGCTGGGCTTGAACTCCTGGCCTCAAACAATTCTCCCTACCTTAGCCTCCCAAAATGCTGAGATTACAGGCTTGAGCCACTGTGCCCGGCCTTTTTCCTTGATAATTTTTAATTCTTGTTAGTTCAACCTGAGAAAGGGATTTGGGTGGCTGGTGTTCTCTTGTGCTTGAATTTACATTACTTCCAGGATACAGTAATAAGACTTGTAAGTTCAAAGGTTAAGGCAGATCATGGATTTTGAAACTGCGGCAATAAAAACACGATGCAAACTAAATGATGCCCTTTACCATTTAGTAGGGAACATTTAGCAATAAAGTATGTCATGTATCTGAGTTAAATTTTGACTTTTGTTCTTTTTTTAAATTGTGGTAAATATGTACAATATAAAATTTACTGTTTAGCCATTTTTAAGTATACAGGTCAGTGGCATTAAGTAAATTTACATTGTTGTACAACCATCACCACCATCCATTTCCAGAACTTTATCTTCCCAAACTGAAACTCTATCTATTGACTAAAACTCCCTCATTCTTCTCTTCTTCCAGCCCGTGGCGACTGCCATTCTCTTTCCATCTCTATGACTTTTACTACTGTAGGGACCTCAGACAATATTTGGTCTTTTATGTTTTGCTTATTCGCTTAGTATAATGTCTTCAGCGTTCATTCATGTTGTAGCATGTGTCAGAATTTCATTCCTTAAGAGTGAATATTCCATTGTTTATATATACCACATTTTGTTTATCCATTGATGGACATTTGTCTTTTCTCTTTAACGAGGTTATTAAATAAAACTCTATTTTACACTAAATGATGTTTTCTTTTCTTTCATATATTCAGGCAGATTCTTTCAAAATGGGACGAGAGTTCGTGAAACGCTTCCCTAGCAGTGCAGACAAGCTAACTAACCTTAATCTGGTTTCTAGAACTTTAAATTTAGATGACCAAGTTGTGTCCCAAAAACCTGCTGGGTGCCATAATTCTAGTAAAACATCTATCAGTGCCACATCAGAAAGACTTTTATTACAAGATGCCTCTAAGAAGGAGTGCTTCAATCAAACACTTTCAACCAACAAAAGTAGTTATACAAGTTGCAGCTCTCAGTCATACCACCTACTCAGTAAAGAACAAAGAAGAAATAATCTTCAGAAAGAATCTTTAATATTTATGAAAGGAGTCATGGATGAATGTACTCATGTAGCAAATTTCTCAGGTACTTGTTTTTATATGAAATTGAGAATATTTGATATGTAAATATTTATGAAATATTTTTAAGGATGCTTTACAGAATAATATCATATTTTCAAGGGTATATTTTTTGTTGGCTCCAATATGTATTTGCCAAGATAAATTGGTTACTTACATGTATCATATTTCATTTATGAAAATCTAAGATCTTATTCATTAAAAAACACATTGGATTTTGTATCTTCTTTAGACTATTCATCTCATTGTATGGGAGATGAGTAACATGGTAATATGGCATATTATAATTGATTTTCAATTTAATCAAAGAGTTTTAGTTTGATGAATATTTCACTTACTGCATTGCGTGGTATATTTTATTTTCTAATATGATTGATAGTATTTATATGAAAATCTTAGAGCTTTTTAAGTGTGTCTATGTTGAATTTTTAAAAATCCTATACCTAGTTCCAGTTGACCCAAGCCTCATTATAGTGGTTCAAGCCAAAGAAGATGCCTATATTCCACGAACAGGAGTTCGAAGTCTACAAGAAATTTGGCCTGGTTGTGAAATCCGATATCTAGAAGGGGGTCATATTAGCGCTTATCTTTTTAAGCAAGGACTCTTCAGGTAAGATGATTGGTCTAAACCGGTGTTTGTTTATGTGTTGTTTGTTTTTTGGGGGGTGGTATTTTTTGCCTCAACAAATATAAAAGATTAGGTGGTATTTATATTGTTTGTTTTAGTCCTCTTATTTCTTCCTTGTTTCCCACAGATCTCACACTGAGGTACTTTTCCCTCTTTCCTATCTTGTCCTCTTATTTTCTTTTTCTCTAGAGATCAAAGGTTGTAACATATCATCGGTATGCTTTATCATGTGGTTTTACCCTCTAGAAATATTAATGGCCAGGTATTTTAGGGTGTGGGGAAGAACATCACAGTTTGTAAAAGTTGCTTTGGTTCATCAACAGTTTTTTCACTCTACTCTGATATTCTCTCATAGTGGCCTTAGCTTCTGTGGAATAATCTAGCAGCTTCAGTTAGCAAGTGAATATTGAACCTTAAATAAGTGGTTTTGTTAGCAACCTTATATGATTCCACTATTTTAGTTAGAACTTAAAAATATTTTAAGCTATAACTCTAATTTTCTGATATTCTACATTATTTCTACTTCTATCCAAATCTGATGGTAAATTGTATCATTGGAATATATTTACTATTAATGGTTAAATAAATTAGTTCACATAAATGCTTAGATCAGTGCCCTATGCATAAGTGTTTAAAAACTGCCAAATGGATAACTATATAGTAGGAGAACTGAGATATATGTTTGACATGTTTTTTAGCTCTTGTTAACATAAAAAATCCTTTGCATGTTGTTGGTTATTTAGTTCAACTTATAAATGTCACTTTTTTGAGATACAGATTAATTCTTCAAGTCTGTTATGTCTTGAAGGATTTGGTAAACCTTTCTTTTTATAGTATGATCTTTTAAAAAATATTCATTCAACATTTGAGTCCCTATTAGTTGGTAAGTGAGCAGACTATCTGATACTCAGTGACTGTGGCACAGCAAAACTAAAACAAACAAAAAAATACGTAGGGTTGCTAGAGTTGCTTAAGAAGAGTCTAAAGTTCTGTTACATATGTGAATGCAGAGGATCCACATGCTTGTATTAGTAAATCAGTATCAAATTTCTTTTGCTCTTTTGTTTATCTAGATGGAAGTATAGCTAAGAGGGGTTAGGAAGAATAGCCATAATCAAAGTCATGTAAAAACTCAAAAGTGCTAATATGAAAGCTTCATTTGAGAAAGAGATAAATGTTAACTATTACTGTGTGCCAGATACTAGGGCGATTGCTTCATTTTATTATCCCCTTTATACAGATTAAAGGAGACAAAAAGATTAAGTAATTTGCTCAAGTGGAGTCACTACTAAGCTATTTGGCCTCTCCTACTCCCACCAGTCACTTCAAAACTTAACAGCTTAGATGACATTGGAAAAGAAGCTACTCCTTTATATGTTCCAATATTGTGTTATTTAGTTAATTGATAATACAGATGAATAAGAGACTATTTAAATGATTAAAAAGGTATATGTATACCTTTTTTAATCTTCCTCATACCATGTACACAAGCCCAAATTGCAACCTTAGGCATCAGAAGTATTAATAAAACAAATTCAGATTCATTCTACCATAGCAAGTTCCCAGAACTAACTCTGAAGAAAAAAAAAAATCATCCAGTGGGCAAACATCCCAAGTCCTGTCTCCCTCTGTTCTCACACTTGCCCTCAAAACAAAATCTCTTTATGTGTTTACATCAGCATGCAAAACATCCAGCTTTAATTTGTTCCCCTTCTCATGGTTTGTTATAATTTACAAGGAACAAATTCTTGAGCCAAAGAAATACAAGTGTTAGAAAGCTGTATTTTCCTAATGTATTGGAAATAATAATCTATTAGCAGGCTGTCAGTTTTAAAGATAATCTTAATATCTTTGTTAGGATGTGGGGAAATGCTTAAACGAGTAGAATATGAAGTTAATATCCTATAATTATTATTTAAACTGGGTTAAAATATAGACATATGCATTTTTTTAAAAAAGCCTGGAGGGGCCAGGCATGGTGGCTCATGCCTGTAATCCTAGCACTCTGGGAGGCCAAGGCAGGAGGATCACTTGAGCCCAGGAGTCTGAAGTTGCCACGAGCAAGGCTGACGCCACGGCATTTGCCTGGGCAACAGAGTGAGACTCTGTCTCAAAAAAAAAAAAAAAAAAAGAATAAAAAGCCCAGAGGAAATATATGGAAAGATTAATAGTATATGCCCTAGTATGATGGGATTATGACTTTTTTCCCCTTTCTATATTTTGGATTTTCTGAATACTCTGCAATGGAAACTTATTGTACACTGGAAAGAAAACTGGCTAGTGCGGTGGTTCACTCCCATAATCCCAGCACTTTGTGAGGCCAAGGCAGGAGAATCACGTGAGCCCAGGAATTTGAGGTTGCAGTGAGCTATGATGACACTACTGCACATGAGCCCAGGCAACAGAGTGAGACCCTGTCTCAAAAAAGGAAAACAAAATAAGCTCTAGAAAAAATGCTCATGAACAGATGAGGTGGTCTGTGCCTGTAGTCCCAGCTACTTTGGAGGCTGATGCAAGAGAATTGCTTGAGGCCAGTAGGTCGAGGCTGAAGTATGCCATGATCACCTCTGTGAAGAGCCACTACACTCTAGCCTTGGCAAGACAGTGAGACCCCATCTCTAAAAAGAAAGAAAAAATATCTTATAGAAGGTCAGAACAATTTATCTATTCTTTTTCAATTGAAATATTAAAATACCTAGTGAAGTTAATGTAGGAAATCAAGGCTTTCGATTTTAAATTCAGTTGCTAGAACATGTTCTTAGTAAACAAAAACCAGCTATATCATAATCTATGAAATAGATTGAATCTTACATTCTGAAGTTACATAATTAATTTTCAACAAAGTGACAAAAAGAATAAAGAGAAACCAGTTCCTTTTTATCATTTTATATATTTTATATCTATTATATATATTCTAAGGCACAAAAAATTGCTTCAGAAAAAGATGATGCTTCTAGATCTATCATCAGTTGGAAATACGTTTGAGGTTTTTCCAAGTAGTGGTGGTGAAGTTACAGGGATCCAAACACCCGCCCTCAGGTAACTACCTCTTTCATAGCTGTTTAGAGAGAAGGTCAGTTTGCAAGCCACACATAATTTGGAAATAACTTATAGTAAAGGTGTTGTCTGTCTCCCCTTTTTGGTATTTACTTGTAGTTTTTCTTTCATATTTAATTTTAGACAAGCCATCTATGATGCATTTGAACGCTTCCTCCACAAATACGCTAACTAATTGGATCACTTCATGTAACCAGTACAGCCATCATGTTTCTTACAAAAGGAATTTTCATCCTATGTTAATGTGAAGAACAAGCAGACCGCATATATATCTAATTGCTATCAATTTAATCTGGAATTCAGTGTTACAGATCCATCAGCTATAAACTCTGAATACATCTGAATAATTTTAAAATAATATTTCAATTGAATAATGTTAAAGTATTTTTATTATTGTTTATTGGAATCCCATATACTCAATATCTAGTCTGTTGCTATTTATGAAAACTTTAAATTTTTAATTATGAATAATTCATTAATTTTAAATAAATTTATTCATAAAAACCTTATTGGTTTTTAATAGAATTGCTAAATCAAACTAAGATTGTAATATATCAGCCTGTACTGTGTACCCTTATCATGACATTTTGCTACTGATTTGAGAAACATGTTTCTTTCTTTTTTGAATATCTGGTGAATTTATAATCCAGTTTTCAACTTTAGTTAACTTTCTGCCATGGAAATAAATATTTACCATGTATAAAATCAGTGTTAACTTTGAATTCTAAAAAATCTTGATTGCCTTGTAGATAAGTGCTTTTAATAATCAAAGTGCATGTTGAAATGCAGATAAAATGCATTAGACTTGGCTAGACTTTAAAACTTTACCAAAGATTAGGTTAGAAAAAAATGCCAAACATATTTCCCCTACTTAAAAAGTTTCGATTCACGAAAAATGGAACTATTGGAAGACCTATTGCATTAATTGATGGATACTGTGTCAAACATTTTTTTGTCTGCCTACTCTTCAGTTTGCTAAACATCTGACTTTATCCAAGTACTTAACAGCTTTGGCTTTTTAATCTCAGAATTTAATAGCCACATATGAAATTGATTTGTCCCATATAAACTTTATTTTATAGAAAAGACTTAAAGTTTTATATAATAACTACTAACTTTTAAAAATGGGGGCTTATCAGGCTAGATTTGGGACTTTTTATGTTAAAGTTCTCTAGCTGAGCTAAAAGGTCAAAGAAAAAGTAGAAAATGTTTTTGGGTATTGTGTGAAGGTTTGGATAAAGTGTATTTGAGCTTTGTTTGAAATCTGTGTTGTCCATGAATTCTTTTTAAATAGGTATTCTTAGTCCTGTGAGAATATTTGAATAATGTGCCTTTGTAGCCTTTTTAAAGGAGATTTCATTTGTCACTCTAATGCCTCATCCATAGTCTTAATTTTTTATAACTATTTTAAAAATTAATGTGAAGTCATGATGGCAGACAAAGTAGTAACTTCTGTAAAACTGCTTCGGCATAACAAACCAACATTGTATAGCTATTTCAACTATAGCAATTTTACATATTCAGAGGAGACACTTTAGTTTTGACCGAAAGTACAAAATCTAAAGTTCTTGCACAAAATACCCTTTAAAGTAGCACTTACTGGCAATTGAATTACAATGATTTTCTTATATCACGTTTATAGTGAGGTGATATGAGTGAATGTTTTCTGAACGTGGCTTTAGAAAAACCAATACTTTATTTTTTACAAAAATATTTCTTACTAAGCAATAATTTACTATGGTGTGTGAATTTCTATTAGTAAAAGAATGAGGCCAGGCACGGTGACTCACACCTGTAATCCTAGCACTCTGGGAGGCCGAGGTGGGAGGATCGCTCGAGGTCAGGAGTAGACACCCCATCTCTACTAAAAATAGAAAGAAATTAGCTGGACAACTAAAAATATATAGAAAATATTAGCCAGGCATGGTGGCACATGCGTGTAGTCCCAGCTACTTGGGAGGCTGAGGCAGAAGGATCACTTGAGCCCAAGAGTTTAAGGTTGCTATGAGCTAGGCTGACGCCACGGCACTCACTCTAGCCCGGGAAAAAAAGCGAGACTCTGTCTCAAAAAAAATAAATAAATAATAAAAAGAAAAAAAGAATGAGGCCAGGTGCCATGGCTCATGCCTGTGATCCTATCACTTTGGGAGGATCACTTGAGGCCAGGGTTCGAGACTAGCCTGAGCACCATAGCGGGACCCTGTCTCTACAAAAATACAAAAATTAGCCAGGCATGGTAGAGTGCACCTATAGCTTCAGGTACTCAGAAAGCTGAGGCAGGAGGATCCCTTGAGCCCAGGAGTTTGAGGTTGCAGTGAGCTATGATGATGCCACTATACTCTAGCCTGAGCAACACAGCAAGTGAGACCCTATCTCAAAAAAAAAAAAAAAAGAAAAAAAGAAATTTCGATTTTGTTTTAATTAACTCTTAGGTATAACTGATTTTTCCCAAATAAAATGTGAAAGATGGTATTTTAAAAATTTCATCTCTTAACCAGATATTTTAAGAATATGTCCATGAAACTACCTCAATTAATTCAAGGTGCAAAATACCTTTTCTTAGGGTTTTTTTTTTCTACTCCCCAAAATAATGGCTCGAGTATTCTCAAATATGTATGTGTATACACACACACACACACACACACACACACATATATAAAAAACCTCAAAGAAGTGCTCTCTGCCATTTGTCTACCATTTTGAGGATGAGATACTACAGAAAATGCTAGAAATTCATTTAGACCAGAGTTATAAACTGTTAGTCCACACAGGCCAGTTTGACCTATAGTTGTTTTATATAGTATTCGGTGTACATAATGTTTCAGAGATTTCTGAATTTGTCAAGTCTTTAGATTGGGCATGCATTCCTCAGTTTTCCACAGTCCAGTGGACTGCCTCTTAGACTACTTTTCTAGTTTGTATTTCCTGCTCAGCCCTGAAGACATTGTAAGTTTGAGACCCCTGATTTAGATCTGTGATTAGAAAAAGTTTCCAAATTTCGTGATTTGCTAATGTTGTAATTACTATTAAGTCATTTTAGCGTATGTATTTTAGATTGTTTATGAATGTATTTTTTAATGTGGTGCTTTCTCGTAAAGATTATTGAATTGTTTAACTGAAATATTAAAAATAATTTCCAAATATTTTGTATTTCATAATAAAAGACTATTTAAAAAGCTAATCATTTGGTTTTTTTTCTTTCAAGAGGTATTATTGGAAATATAGAGGACATATGTCACATTTGATTAATGTACAAACTTGAACTGAGTATTTATGTTCCCCCTTAGTTATTTATGCCCCAGACAAGGTAAGGCAGAAATAAGTAAGGGAGGCTTTAGCAGAGAAGTATTAGTCTCTGTAACAAGAACCAAATTTCCCCCAAAATATGTGTGATCTAAGGGAAACAAGCATTTTGACAGGCTTAGTTATCTGAATGCTATATAACTCAGTATTGGATACATTTATACTAGTAAATATACTACAAACAATTAAAATCTAGAGGCATAAATTAACCAAAGGATTCAGTTGGTAGCTCTTATAGAAACTGAGTTTGGAATGTAAGGAAAGATTATGGCAGGTGAGACAAAGGAAAAAGAGATAGATTTTGGCCACTTTGCAATAGGATAAACTAATTCCAGGAATATTCTTACAGGCAGAGTCCTAGGAAACCAATGATTGTATGAAGTGTAAGCCAGGAATTGAACGGGCCAGTACCTTGATCTTGGACTTCACAACCTCCAGAACTGTGAGAAATAAATGTCTTGTTGTCTAAGCCACCCGGTTTATGATATTCTGTTATAGTAACCTCAGCAGACAAAGATAACAGGTCATGTGAGCAAACATTAAGTAAGCGTATTACAAAAGCACTGTCCAACAGAACTTTCTATAATGATGGAAAGGTACTGCATCTGCTCTAATACAGTAGTCACTTTTCACATGTGAAATGAGGCTACCATAACTGAGGAAGTGAATTTTTTATTTAACTGAAATTTTAAAAAATTAAATAATCATGTGTAACTAGTAGCTATTGTATTAGTATCAATATAAAAAAATCTTAATAGAACAATAACGTAGATCTTCTGGATATATATCAAACACTATGGTCTAAGAGAGTATAAGTTTTCTCAGGTATACATGGAATATTTCCAAAAGCCATATAAGAAAAGAAAATCAGTATGTTTCATAAAGTGAAAATATTATAAACACTTATCACATGCAATAAAACCATAATTTAAAGATAAAAAAAATTACCACAAAGTTACAGTAATCAGTGTGGTAGTGGCATAAAGACATATGGACTAATGGAATAGAATAATGAGCCCAGAAACATACCCTTGAATGTATAGTCAAATGATTTTATTTAATTTATTTTATTGAGACTGAGTCTGGCTCTGTCACCCTGGGTAGAGTGCAGTGGGGTCATCATGGCTCACTGCAGCCTCAAAGTGATCCTCCTGCCTCAGCCTCCCAGAGTGCTAGGATTACAGGCTTGAGCTGCCTTGCCTGGCCATCAAATGATTTTTGACAAGCATTCTAAGACCATCCAATGGGGAAAGGACCATATTTTCAACAAATGGTGCTGGGAAAACTGGATATCCAGATGCAAAACAATGAAGTTGGACCCATACTTTTATACCATATCCAAAATGTTAACTCAAAATGGATCAAAGCCCTAAATGCAAGAGCTAAAACTATAAAGTTTTTAGAAGAGAACATAGGGGAAAAGCTTCATGATAATTGGATTTGTCAGTGATTCTTTGCTATGATACCAGAAACACAGGCAACAAAAGAAAAAATACATAAATTGGATTTTACCAAATTTAAAAACATTTGGGCATTAAAGGACACTATTGAGAGTGAAACAGCAACCCACAGAATGGTAGAAAATATTTGCAAATAATATATCTGACAAAGGATTAAAATCCATAATATATAAAGAACTCCTACAACTCAACAACAGGGCTCACCAAACTTTTCCTATAAAGGGCCAGATAGTGAATATTTCAGGCTTTGCAGGCCAAGATGAAAAACTGAGGATATCATATAGGTACTTATATAAGAAGGAAGAAAATAATTTTCCACAAATTTTTTGATAAAATTCAAAATAATAATAATTGAGCACAATGGTTTCTAATATAGGTCTACTAATTAGAAGAATGGGATTCTTTTTGGAGGAGATAATTCAAAGTTTATGTGCTCTGTCCTCAAAATCGTTGTAAATATTCATCTGTTAATATTGATCTATAATGACATTTTACATATTGTAGCTTTGAAAATGTCTCTGCCAAATACTGATATCAACCCAAAAGTGCTTTTAATTGAACATATTCATCATTTGGAGGGCATTTATAGAATTCTATTAGATTCTTGATATTTGCCCTTTAGCCTTTTTGCAACAAAATAAAGTGACGACAGTATCATATATGGTCTATCGCAACTACTCAACTCTGTTGTTGTAGTGTGAAAGAAGCCATAGACAATACATAAATCAATAAGCATAGCATGGCGGTGTTCCGATAATATTTTATTTATGGAACTGACATTTGAATTTCATGTAGTTTTCATATATCACAAAATATTCTTTTTTTTAAAACCATTAAAAAATGTAAAACTCAGCTTGTGCCTGTGTAAAAACGGTTGGTGAACAGGATTTGGCCCATGG